CCTCCATGCGCAGTTTCTGGAGATCTTTTGCATGACGCCGGTGCGACGGCGGCAGTCCTCGCCGGCGCCTACTCGCTCGTTCTCGGATTCGATAATCTTGCTCGCCGGAATTTGATTCAACAGGTTCGTTGAATGCTTGAATTCTCTCTTCCTTGCGTGCGCAACTTAGTTTATTTGTTAGTCTTGTGCTTAAATTGATGCGAGCGAATGGAGATCTGGATTTTGGAGAATCTTTTAGTACGTCTGTGTTTGGTTAATTGAGAAAATCGATGTGCATTTTTAGTTGAAATAAAGTTCTATTTCCTGAAACGGAAGGACGATGATTGTCATGAATGCTTTTCCGGTTATCATTTCTCAAAATGAAAGTGAAAACAAATTTTTCTTGGGCGCCGCTAACATTCACAAAGTAGATAAATGCGGACCGAAATCCTAGACGCGGAATGTAAATAGTAAATTCGGATAAGATTCTCTACATTTTGAGTGAATCGAATACTATATGTTTCTCGCTTGCTTTGGTAGATGAATTTGAGTATATACAGAAACTCCATATGAGTCGTAATTGTAAGTTCTCCATCGCATCTAGCAAGTTGCATCTGTATAGAACTTGAATCTTACAGTGCCTTTTGAAATGTTTTGGAAGCATTACTGCCGTGGTAACTGGCTTCAAGTGTCTACCTCTTGGTTTTTGATCTTCTAGTTTTAATCTGTCCAGGGCCGTTTAGTTCACCCTTTCTTTATAGTTCATTTTGGTTCTGGCAAACTTGGTAGTTTTCTTTAATCTGCTTCCATTTGGGTCCTGTATTTAATGTTCTGCTAAGTTGTACAAGATATTAATTTTTGTACACTTGTAACAGGGTGGTTGAAAAGTCAGATACAATTTTACAAGATATTATTTCTTTTGTAATTCAAATAAGAAGTTTGCCAACTTCCACGTCCTCTCTGCACATCAACCAACTTTCGTTTTATATAAACTTAAGAAATTCATTAATTTACTGATCATGGTGAAAATATTAGTTGCATGAAAGAAGAGGGAAATCTCGTAGAAACTATTGTATTCCTTGTTCCTTCTCACCAAATAGCATCACTCTCTTCAATTCTGAATAATTGGCATTTCATTGGAACAGAATTTGAGCAGAAAACTTGTTCACATATTGTCTGGATTGCTTTTCATGATGTCTTGGCCTATATTCAGGTAATCTTTAACTTTTTCCCTTGCAGAAAAAGTTATTGTCTCTGGCTTTCATTTATTTTGTACACCAATGGTTTAAATCTGGGTGTTTCTCAACCACTTCAGTTTATCGTTTTAATTGTGGAATAGCACCTCAACAGAAGCTCGCTACTTTGCTTCTCTAGTTCCCACTGTGAATTGCTTAAGGCTTGTTGTGTATGGCCTCTCATTAGCCAAAGATGAAGGACTCTTAAAGTCTCTAACTCGGGAGGGAAAACCGGAGTGAGTAAACGTCCAACCACCCTTCAAAAGCATGAGTAAACTCATTTCATTATATCGTATACCTCAGACATTACACTTCTCCCTCCATCATTTTAGACAAATGTTCTCAAATCTGCAGGGAGTTGCTGAGAGGCCCTCTATATTATGTTCTAATACTGATTTTGTCAGCTGTTGTGTTCTGGCGTGAATCTCCTGTTGGTTTGATCTCATTGGCAATGATGTGTGGGGGGGATGGTAATTTTCAGCTTCTCTAAATAGCTTCCCCCTAAAACTACAACTTCAACCACAACTATCATAAAATGCTAAAGTGGGTCGCATAAATCGTCATCCGCGAGTGTAGTTGACTAGTAGTACCATTGGCCTAAAAGCTCCGTATATTTTGCAGGTATTGCTGATATAATGGGAAGAAGATTTGGGTCCAAACGGCTTCCTTATAATCAGGGGAAGAGTTGGATTGGTAGCATATCCATGTTTATCTTTGGATTTTGGGTCTCCATTGGGTGAGTTTTTGGCCTTTCTTTATAGAAATTAGACTCTCTCCAAGCTAAAAATCTGTCCAATGCTCTCTATTGCTGCAGATTGAGTAGTGAAATTAACTTGGAAAAATGGTTTCAATGTGTAGGATGCTGTATTATTACTCAGCTCTTGGATATTTGGAGTTGGATTGGGGAAGAACAGTGCAAAAAGTTGCTCTAGTTTCTTTGGTGGCAACTGTGGTGGAGTCACTTCCAATTGCAAATGTTGTAGATGATAATATATCAGTACCACTGGTCAGTATGGTAGCAGCCTTTCTGACTTTCAGTTTTTAGATCTATTGAATTTTCTCCATCTTCTTCCCATTCCACTGACACTTTCCAGTTTCCTTT